GGGGGGGGGCTCTGCAGCTTACCTGGCTGCTTCTTGCTCTGACTGAGGGCTGCTGGGAGCAGGGGGTGGGGCCTGTTGCATGTGCCCGCCTCCTGGGCTCTTTACTGCCAGAGCTCTGCTCCTGTGCGCTCCTGCAGGAAATGATCCCTGCTTATAACAAGGATTTAAAAGCATGCTGTTGGGGGGTGCTGGGAGCAGGCGACGTCCACTTACATCTGGCCCGCTGGATCCCAGGATGGCAGGTCCACTCGACAAACCGACGATCCCCGAGCCTTCCATATCCTAATCAAACAAGAAGTGATTCAAGTCTCTTGCTTGCTTTGTTACGGCAACCGCACCGGGCTTTCCAACAATTCTATAAAAGGCCCCACGCTCAGCAGGATGCCCTCACATGCGGCAAAACACAAAAGAAATTAATGGTGTTTATTTCTTTTTTAAATCCAGAAAACCAGAGAGCTCAAGGACCACCATGCTCCCCGCCATCAACAAGTGGAGACTGCCGGTGACTGTCATTCTGGGAAAGCGTCCGCGCTTGCAGAGCGTCCACCTGGGTGGGGAAGGGATTGTCTCCCTGTCTACAGCAGCTGAAAGATGTCTACCGAAGCAGCAGCAGCAGCAGCACGTTTTTCTCTGCTGATGAGAGCAGGCGCAGAGTTATTAACCACCAGGTGGGGGCTGGAGAGCTTCTGGAATTACAACTGATCCCCAGACCACAGAGGGTTCTCCTGGGGGAAATGGCAGAGGGTGGACTCCAATTATGTCCCTGTCGAGCTTCCTCTGTTCTCCGGACTCCATCCCTCCCCAGGCCTGTAGCTACAGTGGGGCATTTCGGGGCCCCGCCCCCTTAATTTAAAGCCCTGCCCCACAAATAGCCATGCCAGAAGCCTTTTTTGGGGCCATGGCCTAGGTGGTACTGGGCAAGCAGAAAGGGGGATTGTTGGAGATGTAGTGAAGGTGCCCTTCTAAGCTCTCTTGCCCCGTGGAAGGGAACTCAGAATGGCCCGTCAGGAACCCAAACCTCCAGTTTTAAAGTACTACCTTTTAAATATGGCTCCGAAGCGCGGCAAAACGGGATTCTCACGGACGAGGTATGTTTCCCAGATGTTGCTGTCTGGAAATTACATTTAAATCTGCCAGGCACTCGTGCATGGCGCAGATCTCAAGAGCCATTTGAACACACCCTTAGATGTGAAGGCATCCAGCAAACCACCTCATGTAGGCCAATGAGCGATCGGGTTCACTGCAGAGGCTTAAGGGCACAGTGTCCTTTGTCGCCTTTCCCGGCTCTCCTTCCCTAACGGTGCTGCAATTAGTCCAAGTGGGGATAATCTTCCCTTAAAAGAGAAGGCCGACCTCGCTGCCAGCTCCTGCGTCAAACCGTCTGTCACTGGTCTGTCACCAGCGGCTTCTGCAACACACACTGTTCTTTTGGCCGTCGCCAGCACCAGCAGATCTAGGTTCTCCTTGTCTGCCCCTTGATATTTTAATTTTCACACGTGACTGATAATAACAGATGCCACTAAGTGCAAAAAGGCCGACTGTGTGAAAGGGGCACCTTCTCTGGCAGTAAATACATTTCCGGCCCAAGTTATGCATTTCTGTCTCAGCCCTGGGAACCTTCTCAAGTTCAGACTTTGGGTCTGTCCATTTTCTACGCCCAGGCCCAATGGGTGTGTGTGTGTGTGTGTGTGTCCCAGCTGTCGAACAAAAACACCCTGGCTACGGGCCTGCTCCTCCCCCAATCTCCAGGAAATTCCCAAGCTAGAGTTGGCAACCCTAGAGCAGGAGCTGCTCCCAGGGCATGATTTTCAAATTCCCAGAATAAAAAAGGGGGCACCCACAATGACTCGGAGAGGTAAGTGAGGGCTTTATCATGGACCAAATACGTCAGACCATCCTGAATGGGCGCCATTTTTTAATTCCGCGCTGTAACGATCAGACGGGGGAAAGTCCGTGAATGGCCCGTCAGGAACCAAAAACTCCAGTTTTAAAGTACTACCTTTTTAATATGGCTCCGAAGTGCGGCAAAACGGGATGCTCACGGACGAGGTATGTTTCCCAGATGTTGCTGTCTGGAAATTACATTTAAATCTGCCAGGCACTCGTGCATGGCGCAGATCTCAAGAGCCATCTGAACACACCCTTAGATGTGAAGGCATCCAGCAAACCACCTCATGTAGGCCAATGAATGATCGGGTTCACTGCAGAGGCTTAAGGGCACAGTGTCCTTTGTCGCCTTTCCCGGCTCTCCTTCCCTAACGGTGCTGCAATTAGTCCAAGTGGGGATAATCTTCCCTTAAAAGAGAAGGCCGACCTCGCTGCCAGCTCCTGCGTCAAACCGTCTGTCACTGGTCTGTCACCAGCGGCTTCTGCAACACACACTGTTCTTTTGGCCGTCGCCAGCACCAGCAGATCTAGGTTCTCCTTGTCTGCCCCTTGATATTTTAATTTTCACACGTGACTGATAATAACAGATGCCACTAAGTGCAAAAAGGCCGACTGTGTGAAAGGGGCACCTTCTCTGGCAGTAAATACATTTCCGGCCCAAGTTATGCATTTCTGTCTCAGCCCTGGGAACCTTCTCAAGTTCAGACTTTGGGTCTGTCCATTTTCTACGCCCAGGCCCAATGGGTGTGTGTGTGTGTGTGTGTGTCCCAGCTGGCAAAAGTCAAGCAATCACGCACAATTTCAGTTCCGATATCATGCATTACCATGCTTTACTTTTAACTAAGATTAGTTTATGAAGCTGGGATTTAGGGTTTTTTTGCAGTCACCGATGGAGAAAGTCAACTTGAGAACCAAATATGGAGATGTGAAACATCACCTCAATAGGGATGCCAGCCTCCAGGTGAGGTCTGGGGATCTCCTGGAACTACTGCTCATCTCCAGACTACAGAGCAGTTTTCCTGGAGAAAAACAGCTGCTCCGGAGGCTGGACTCCATGGCCCTGTACCCCACTGAGGTCCCTGTCCTCCCCAGGCTCTACCCCCAAGTCTCCAGAGGACCAAATGCTGCTTAAAAGTAAAGGTTCCCTTGCTCGAAAGCCAGTCGAATCTGACTCTAGGGTTGCGGTGCTCATCTCCGTTTCCAAGCCGAAGAGCCAGCGCTGTCCGAAGACGTTTCCGTGGTCATGTGGCCGGCATGACTAAACGCCGAGGCGCACGGAACGCTGTTACCTTCCCACTAAAGCGGTGCCTATTTATCTACTTGCAATTTCTTGCTTTTGAACTGCTAGGTTGGCAGGAGCTGGGACCAGGGACGGGAGCTCACTCCGTCACGTGGCACTAGAATCCCGAACTGCCGAACTACAGACCTTCCGGCCTGCAGTTCAGCGTCTTAACCGCTTGAGAGCCACACCACCATGGCCCTTTTATCTGACAAAGTGGGCTGCAGCCCATGAAAGCCAGCACCCTTACCTTTACGCTGCCCAAAGGAAAGTGCCTTAACGCAGTAATAGTTTTATTCAAAGTATGAGCTTTCGTGTGCGCACACACACACTTTTTCAGAAAAGGTGCCACAGAACTCTACGTTTGTTCTACTGCTTCAGACCAACACGGCTGACCACCTGGATTTATCTTAATGTGGCAATTTGACTGGAGAGTTCTGCCCCATGTTTCGAAGCACAAACGTTCAGCTTCCCCAGTTGTTATCCACTGTTGATCCCAACAGGATCATTCAAAATTGAGAATCTATTTCAAGCTTATTCAGAACACAGGTAGCAAGCGAAGGACCAAATTTCAAATGTATTCTTTTTAAAAAATAATAGCATTGTGCCATTCATTGTATGCTGGCTGGACGCCTCTCTGTCACTTACAGGATCAAAATGGTGAGTCATTCTGGAACTCTACTACCCGCTATTGGACAGACCTTTACACAGCACACACTTTCCTCACACAAGATCCCAACGTCCAGACCAGCATCTCCTGCTAAAAGGGTCTTTGGTAGCAGAGTTGCAAAAGACCTGTGCTTGAGATATAGGAGAGATGCTGCCTTGAGCTTGTTTGGAGGTTCTAGCAGGGGAGCGCAGCTATCGTATACCCTTGCCTCCGGAAGATGCTCCCCAGTAAGATGGGCCTATCCCCCTTCTGGTGCTCCACCATATTACTTTTTCTGCCTGACTTTGCCGCAAATGTGTAGAGCTTATTTGTTGGCTCGTTTTAATGTTCTCCCCTCTGCTATTCTTTACTTTATGACTCAGGCATTTTTGTATGGCCAAATCTATCTTGTGACAACTGGAGTTATGTTATAGACCTGATATATCCTTGGAATGGTTTACCACGACTATCTATTTTATAATGTCTATTGGATTGTATTAATATTGGGAATTGCTTTTAATATTGTTTGCCAATAAAAGGTATTTGACTTTGACTTTGAGAGATGCTGCCCATCTTTATGGGGCTAGATGGACCAATGGTCTGATGGCAGAAAGTTAATTTGTATGTTCGGTGCTGGTAGTCTTCTAGTGGAAGCCAGCTGCACACGGTGCTGATTGGCTGGCCCTAGTGACATCACAAAGCTGTTTTCCAAACCCAGCTGCACACAGTGCTGATTGGCTGGCCCTTGTGACATCACACAGCTGTTTTCCTCCCTCCCCAGAGCAGCTTTTCAATAAACACCGATGTTGTTCTGTGCAAGGTTCTTGATGTTTTTTTAAAAGCTGCAAGTCAGTTTGCTTGTGCGCATCTTGAGAGAGCCCATGCTGTGAAGGACTTACAAACTGCGCTCCCTTTGACGGTGGAGCTACACACTTCCTTTTCCACATCTTCCAGTGATGTGACTTAAGTTCACCTGTGCTTTGAGAAAATGTGTGTGGGCAGCCATTCACTTACGTTTGCTACAAGGACGTTATTCTGTTCACTGCAGTGGGCGAGGCAACCAAAGTACTTTCCCTGTGCAACATCTCAGAAATTCAATGGCTGAATGGGAACTTCTGAACGGCATAAACTGACAATTGGAAAGAGACAGACATCTTTCCCAATGAACTCACTTTAAATGTAGCTTTCAGCACAGAACTTACATATATCATTTATCAGTTCCTTTTTTTTTGTTTAGATACTTTGCTGTGATACCTGGGTGACCCAGGCAACCTCAGTCTCATCAGATCTTGGGAGCTAAGCAGGGTCAGACCGCCAGCAAAGTCCAGGGTTGCTGCACCGAGGCAGGCAATGGCAAACCACCTCTGAATGTCTCTTGCCTGCAAACCCCACAAGGGGTCGGCATACATCAGCTGTGATTTGACGGCACTTTACACAGAAGAAGAAGGAGGAGGAGGAGGAGGAGGAGGAGGGGGAGGAGGGGGAGATTGGATTTATACCCCGCCCTTCACTATCCGAAGGAGTCCCAGAGCGGCTTACAATCTCCTTTCCCTTCCCCTCCCCACAACAGACATCCTGTGAGGTAGGCAGGGCTGAGAGAGCTCCTTCAAGAACCGCTCCTGGGGGAACAGTTCTGAGAGAATTGTGACTGACCCAAGGTCACACCAGCAGCTGCAAGTGGAGGTGTGGGGAATCAGACCCAGTTCTCTCAGATTAGAGTCTGCACTCCGAACCACTACACCAAACTGACTTTCTCATGCACCAGGCTTCACTCCCCAAAGCAGCTTACAACATAGTTCTCCGTTCCTCCGTTACATCCTCACAAATACCACCCTGTGAGGTTCAGAGTCTGTGACTGGCCCAAGATCACCCAGCAAGCTTCACGGCAGGGAGTGGATTCGACCCTGGGTCTCCTAGTTCCTACCAAACCACTACACTGGCATATGAAGAGGTCCTAGGGTTGCCAAGTGGAACTTACCTTGGTGGCGGGGGACTCCCGGGTGGATCCCGGAGCGCGCACGCTGCACATACGTCACCAGGAAGTGATGTTATGACGCCGGGCATGCTGGGGGCGGGGCCACAACCATACAAGGGAAAACCATAGTTTGCCCTTGTATGGCTGTGGCCCCGCCCCCAGCGTGCCCGGTGTGCACGTGTCACTTCTGGGTGACGTGCACGTCAGGGAGGAGTTCCCCCCGGGGCCCGATCCGGCAGCACCGGGGAACGGGCCTATGGGGCAGGGGTTTCCCCGGCCCCCGGGGGGACTTGGGTGGTCTGAAAGGTCGTGGAGGGAGGGAAAGCGAACCAAGGGACGGGGTGCCAAGGGGAAGCTAAGGGAATGAAGTGTACGTGGGGACACCGTGAGCCTGGGGAGGGGTGGAAATGGGAGTCTGGAGGCAAGGGTTGCGGAATGTGGCGAGGAAATTAAGGAGGAGGAGGAGATTGGATGTATACCCCGCCCTTCACTACCCGAAGGAGTCTCAGAGCAGTTTACAAACACCTTTCCCTTCCCCTCCCCACAACAGACACCCTGTGAGGCAGGTGGGGCTGAGAGAGCTCTTACAGAAACTACCCTTTTTTCAAGGACAGCTCCTTATCAGAGCTACGGCTTACCCAAGGTCGTCCAGCCAGGTGCAAGTGGAGGAGTGGGGAATCAAACCCGGTTCTCCCAGATTAGAGTCCGCGCACTTAACAACTACACCAAACTGGCTCTCAATTAAGTGGGTATGCGGAAGCAGCTGAGGGGAGACGAGGAGAAAGGCCGAGGGGGAAAGGAAGCTAGGAGGAGGACAGGGAGAGGGAGGAAAGGGCGCTGTGGGGAGGGGGGAGGGGAGAAGGCAGAAGGGAACTGAAAGCTATGGGGAAGGGGGGAAACAGTGAGCGGAAGGGAGGATGAAGAATGGGAGTTGGGGGGAGAATCTGTAAAGGGGTGGTGGAGGGGGTGGGGAAAGGAATGATGTGGGGAGACCAGAGAGGGCTGTGGTGAGGAAGGCAAAACACAGTTTCGATCTCAGGGCTTCCCTTTGAAAATGCAGCTTCTTTAAACAGATTACCTCAAATCCAAACCCATAGCCTGGCCCGGGGGGTCCGGGGGGGCCGGGTAGTCCTGGTATCCCAGGAGCCCCGTCAGCTCCTGCCTGCCCTTTCTCACCCGCTCGTCCAGTATCGCCAGGGTCTCCCTGAGGGAAAAGAATGGATTATTTCCCAATATACGTCTGTCGAGCCGTATTGCAGAACCCCTGACGGAGCACAACGGTGTCAGGAGGGGGAAATCTCGCACAAGTCCTGTCGGCCATGGCCCTGAGGACACACTTCTCCTGCCGTAGCCACACGTATTTAGCAGCCCTCTCTCCCATCTAGGGTTGCCAGCCTCCAGGTGGGGCCTGGGGATCTCCCGCTTTCACAAGTGTTCTCCAGCTGCGCTGACAGAGACCAGCTCCCCTGGAGAAAATGGCTGCTTTGAAGGGGGGGGGGACTCTGTGGCACTGGACCATGCTGAGGCCCCTCCCCTCCCCAAAAACCCCGCCCTCTCCTGGATCCACCCCCAAAGTCTCCAGGTATTGCCCAACCCAGACCTGGCAACCCGACTCCCATCTTTGGCCCTGTCCCTTCTTTGAAGAGACAGAACAGCATCAAAGTTAAAGAATAATTGCCTCAGCACCAATGCTCCCTCTAAGCTGTGGAGTCTTGTGAGCCAAAAATGCTACTCTGTGAGCTACTTTGTGAGCTACTGGCATGAGATTATACCTCTGAGGATTATACCGCTGAGGCAGGGGTCATTTCGTAGAAAAAGAGGTGCAGGAGCTCGTTAGCATTACTCATTTGCATATGCCACACACCCTGACATCACCGGAAGTGTGTCAGAAGGCAGCGCCCACTGCTCAGGCTCCACTGGACTGTTTTGGATTGCTAGCTATCGGGGAGGGGAGGATGTGCAAATCTGTCCTCACAGAGGAGGGAGAGCTTGTGCCTGAATAAAACTTGGTCTTAAAGGTGCCACTGGACTGTTTTGGATTGCTAGCTATGGGGGAGAGGAACACACAGATCTGCCCTCACAGAGGAGGGAGAGCTTGTACCTGAAGGTGGGCGGAAGGGGGCAACTTACCTGGCTGCTTCTTGCTCCTCGTGGCCTGACTGAGGGCTGCTGGGAGCAGGGGGCGGGGCTTGTTGCATGTGCCTGCCCCCTGGGCTCCTTACTGCTGGAGCTCCGCTCCTGTGTGCTCCCGCAGAAAATGACCCCTGCTCTGAGGATTATACCTCTGAGGATGCCAGTCACAGCTGCTGGCGAAACGTCAGGTCCTACAATGCCAAGACCACGGCCACACAACCCGGAAAATCTCCAACAACTAATGAACTCCGACCGTGAAAGCCTTCGACAACATACTGGCATGGAAGCTGTGAGCAAGCGATTGGGCTACGGCATAAATTAGTTTGCTCTGGAGCCCTCCTTCCTGAGCTAAGGCAAAAATGTGTAAGCCGGAGGCTAAAAAACTGTGAGCGAGCTCGTACTAACTCAGCTTAGAGGGAACACTGCTCAGCGCATTTCCCTGAAGCCGGAGCAACATCCTGCTTTAAAGACTTGGAATTAAGGATCAGGGCTGCTTCCTAGGCCCGTTCTGCATCTAGCGTTCACTCCGCTGTTCTACAAAATCCACATTAGAACAGAAATTCCTCTCTACGTTGCATGCCGCTTTCACTTCCTTTGATTGTTGGATGTTATGGGAGCCTCCACACGGATTGCCGGTTTCATTTTCTTTGACCTCTTGGTTTTATGGTACCGCCTGTCTGCATAGATTTACGGCTGTTTTATGGCCGTTCCGGGGGTGACTCTGCAGTCCGTATGGCCTTGGCTTGGAGTATTTGGATGTGGCTTTGAGCTGCATCTTCTTCTGTTCCAGGGTGGGTCTGGTCAAACAGCAGAGCGAAGGCTAGATGCAGAACGGGCCCTAAACTGGAGGGCAAAGTCTCCGTGGATCCATAAGCCCAAACACTAGGGCTGCGTCCTGGAGATCTCCCGGAATCACAACTGATCTCCAGACAAGACAGGTTTGCTCCCCAGGAGAAAATGGCTGCTGACAATGGTGGACTCTATGGCATTGGACCCTACTGGGGTCCCCCGTCCCCAGACCCCACCCTCCCCGGGCTCTTCCCCCAAAACCTCCAGGAATTTTCCAACCCAGAGTTGGCAACCCTGGGTTCTCCATTTTAGAAAACTTGCCCTTCTTCTACTTCTCTTGACAATCTTACAAGGATGAGGAGGAGGAGATTGGATTTATACCCCGTCCTTCCCTCAGAGTCTCAGAGCGGCTTACAATCTCCTTTCCCTTCCCCTCCCCACAACAGACACCCTTAGGGTTGCCAAGTATCTTCGCCGGGAGCGGGGGGCTCCCGGCCAGCATCTTGTGCACGCCGCACGCACGTCACCCGGAAGTGACGGGAGGACGCCAGGCACGCTGGGGGCGGGGCCATGGCCATACAAGGGAAAACCATAGAGTGCGCGTGCCTGCATCACTTCCGGGGGACGCGCACGTCAGGGTGCAGTTCCCCCCGGGGCCCGATCCGGCAGTGCCGGGAACGGGCCTCTGGGGTGGGGGTTTCCCCGCCCCCCGGGAGGACTTGGGATCCCTAGACACCCTACGAGGCAGGTGGGGCTGAGAGAGCTCTTTCAAGAACTGCTCTTAAGAGAAAGGACTTGTGACCGACCCAAGGTCACACCAGCAGCTGCACATGGAGGTGTGGGGAATCAAACCCGGTTCTCCCAGATTAGAGTCCGCGCACTTAGCCACTATACTAAACCTGGGGGGGGGGGGATTTCAAAAAGCTTACAGCGTGTGGCCGTCTCCCCACATAATTCCTAAACCTTAAGCTGTGGCATTCCACCTCAAAACAGTCACCCTAAGCAGTGACCACCTAACAATCTGTCTGGGGGGGCTCCTAAGAACGCCAAGAACCCAAGTTTATACTGGCATCCCTTTGTCTAATGCAGGGTTAGCAAAACTGACTGGAGCCCTAGGAACTGAATTCATATCAAATCACTCCAAATAAGCGCATGATAAGAATGCACAATGGGCAGAATGCCGTCAGTGCTGTGTTACCTCTCAGGCCAATTTTTGTGCAAAAGCCTGCCTGTGTTGTCTCCAGCAGAGCCAGATTTCACCTGTGATGTTTAACAACTATTATCAAAAGAGGACAAATTTGTGCCAGTTACCTTTGGTCCGGGTGGGCCTGCAGGACCTTGCTCGCCCTGGAAGAGAAAACACCTGTAAATGGAGGAGACTGAAACAGCACACCGCTGAGCACGCGCGAGGAAGGAGACGACTGATGCAGTTCTTTTCAATGAGAACTGTCTGCCCTTCATTTTATCGTTAAGGACCCAGGCTCACCCGATTTCATCAGATTTCAGAAGCTAAACAGGGTCGGCCTGGGTTAGCCCTTGGATGGGAGACCACCAAGGGAGTCCAGGGTCACGACATAGAGGCAGGCAATGGCAAACCACCTCTCTTCATCTCTTGCCTTGAAGACCCTACAGGGTCGCCATCAATGCTCCCTCTAAGCTATGGAGTCTTGTGAGCAAAAATTCTGCTTTGTGAGCTCCTGGCATTAAAGTTGTGAGCGAGTGATTTGGCTACTGCATAAATCAGTTTGCTCTGGAGCCCTCCTTCCTGGGCTAAGGCAAAACAATGTGAGCCAGAGGCTCACACTAACTCAGCTTAGAGGGAACACTGGTCGCCATAAGTCAGCTGCAACTTGATGGCCCTGTCTATCCCCCCTGTGGTCATGTCAGCTGATCTTTCTTAACGGACTATGATAGGTCTTAAAATACTGTGAGCCGGCTCATACTAACTCAGCTTAGAGGGAACACTGGTCGCCATAAGTCGGCTGCAACTTGATGGCCCTGTCTATCCCCCCTGTGGTCATGTCAGCTGATCTTTCTTAACGGACTATGATAGGTCTTGGCATATTTTACGGGGGAAGTGATCGATTGGCCTTTTAGTTACCGCTGTAGGTTTTGATGGACTGAAGAACTGTGGCTCTCGAAAGACCTTACTTGAGACGAACGGACACGGTGCGCACGTCAGAGCAGGCTTCACTTTCAGTGGCTGGGATTACGGGTGGCAGGCGGTGGATTCTGCCCTCAGGTGCCCCACTTGACTGCTTCCCGTTGGTGTGAATGACAGAAGAGAATAGGAAAGGGCAGGGAGTGGGAGGGGCTGTGGCTCAGTGGCCAGAGCATCTACTTGGCACGCAGAAGGTTGCCAGTTCAATCCCCAGCAACTCCTGTTAAAAGATCTAGCAGTAAGGGATGTGAAAGACCTCTGCCTGAGACCCTGGAAAGCCGCTGCCAGTCTGAGTAGACAATACCGACTTTGATGGACCAAGGGTCTGATTCAGCATAAGGCAGCTTCACTGTGTTCCCTCTAAGCTGAGTTAGTGTGAGCTAGCTCACAGTGTTTTAGCCTCCGGCTCACACGTTCTTGTCTTCGCTCGGGAAGGAGGGCTCCCGAGCAAGCTAATGTATGCAGTAGCCGAATCGCTCGCTCACTACTTTAATGCCAGTAGCTCACAAATAAGAATTTTTGCTCACCAGACTCCACAGCTTAGAGGGAGCATTGGCTTCATGTGTCCATGTGTTGCCCTTGGGGACACTGTCACAGTAAAGGGGAAACCTGACCTGTATCGTCATCATTACCATCATCATCATTTCAATTTGTTAAACACCCGATCCCAGCTTACGGGGATCCTGCAGGAGTGGAAAGTGTATCTTCGTGCAGAGACACAAAAGGCAAGTCTAGCAGTCGCCTTAGCAGAAGGACCTGGTATGCTTCCCAAATGGGCAAGGGCGTGCTGGAAACCATGGCTCATATAAACCCTCATCAGGCACCTCCTTTGAGAGTAGGTTGACTGCAGATCTGCATTGGGTACAACCCAGTCCCACCCAGTCTAGCGACGTGACAGAACTATGAAACCACCAGCAGTGGCCGATCGGCAGGAGGCGTGGCCAGAACAGTGACTCATGCAGGGGTATAGTGGGCTGCCTCCTCTACACACACAGGCCCTTCGAATACTTTCCCCTTGTCACACAGGTCCCCACTACCTCTTCTGTACAAGAAGACGGGGCTTTCTAGCTACCCACATCTGTGGCCAAGTCCCCATCATAACGGAAACTCTGAGACCACCAAGGATACTGTCAGAACAATTATGTCAGGCACTCTAGGACAGGCCACAGGCCCTTAAACCTGGGCCAAATCCCACAGCTTCTCTGAAAAAGGAAGAACTAAATAAGAAAGGGCTAATAATATCCACCCACTTCATAATATCAATCATGCCACATCATCACCTCAATTAGCCCAGGAAGCCTGCCAGCGGGAAAGGAATGTGCACTCTGTTTAATACAGCTCACAGCTAACTCCTATAATTTGGCTAACGGAGGGGGGTAATAAGAGATTCATATGCTCTGACGTATTGTAAACTAAGGTTTATAGTGCACTTGAGAGGGGGGAATAAGCACAAACATTCAGATTTAGATCCTTAAATAATTTACTGAAAGTCCTTAGCAAGGGACCTTAAACGGAGCCACAGAGCACTATTTATACTTTGAGAAAATTCAGTTGTCCCTGCCCAGAGAACTCAATCTATGATTTAATCACCAATTAAATCTACAGCCCATGGAAGTGTGTACACTGCCTTGAGCCCTCCGGGGGAGGTTGGTCTATAAATTGAATCCATCAATCAGTCAATCAATCAAAAAACCAGTTGACATTTCTGAGCTGTTCATGCAAACCTTAAAGGCAAGCTTTGGATGAACAGTGCGGAAACGTCAACGAGTTCAAAACTCTGAAACTTGACTGCTGATGGGAACGGGTCTTCTTGACCGTGCCCAAAGAACTCCCCCGCTTAGTCATTCTGCCCAACTGGTGAGAGCCTCCTCAGAGGCCACGTGCCCTCACCTGCGGATGTCAGGTGGGCGGTCGGCAGAGAGAAGAAACAAAAGCCATGCAATACCGAAATGCAGGGATCCCCAACCTTTTTGAGAGCCGACCGGGACACGCAAGACAGCGAAGCCGGGAGCCGTCGGGTGATGCCCACGAAGAAGACGTGGCGCGAGAGCCGGGGAACGCTGCTGAGAGGGGCCCGCACCCCAGAGAGGCGACGGCCAGCAAGAGGAGCGTGGCGCAGAGAGTGACGCGGCAGCCGCTCTCCCCAGCCCCACGCTGCCACACCCATGACGCTGAGAGCGCGTCTGGAGTAATAAAGGGGGTGGGTCTAGAACCAGGAAGGGAGACACAGGACGGGGGGCGGTGCTGGGAAGCGGGGCAGGGATAAGAGGTGGTGTCGTCAGGGAGGTTGGGGAGGAAGGACGCGATGCCAAGGCTGGGGAAGAAGAGCTGACGCACAGAGAGAGGATCAGCTCACGTCTCCCCAAGGTTCCAGTGAACTAAAGGCCAACTTGGAGCGGACAGAGGGCCGGTAGAGGTGGTGTTAACCTCATCCCCTGCTTTTCTGAGACCTCCCTTGTCTCACCACCCTTACAAAGGCCAGGCGTCCCAGGACAAGCCGCCCCGCAACCACGGCCATGGGGACTGGACCGCCTGGGCAGAAGGGAGACCCTCACAAAGACTAATAGCCGAGGGTGTTCCAGGGCCCCGCCTGATACAGCCTCCAGCAGGGATGGCCGGTGCATTGGGCAGTCGGTACACCAGCCAAATCGCCACACTCTTCTCAGCCTCCAACACCAGACCGACACACTCTATGCCCGTGATCCCCGGAGGTGGGAGGGCCCTGAAGGTGTAAGCCTCCCGGATGAATAAAGCCACTCCTCCCCCCCTGCCCCTTAGTCTGCGATTGGTGGAGGACCGAGAATCCAGGAGGAGCCACACTGTCTCTCCCTCTCTCACCCAGGTCTTGGTCACGCACTCCAGGTCTACATTCTGTTCCAACAGAAAATCCCGAAGGATCGTGGTCTTATTATTTATAGACCTGGCGTTACACAAGACCAATGTCGGAGAGGGGTCAATCATCCTAGCCCCACCTTTGGGATGGGCCGTAGGCTGGAAGGTGGCCGAGCGAAATTGTTTCTCCGCCCCCTTCCCTCCACTCTCTGCCTAGTCCCACCGTTATACTTTCCCCTCCCCAGGAGCACTGGAATCATCTGCCTGGCCATCCCCAAAGATGGTCCTCACAATTCACAGCTGTGTTCCCAGACCACTATAGAGAGGGCGGCGGAATAACACACAGTTCTCTGGTACTGATTCCCAACTATCCCTAAATATTCTAATCTATCCTTACTGTTAATATAACTAACATATCCTAACAATTTAACAGATTAATATACCATCAATCCCTGGCCAGTGACACAAATAAAGGCCAGTATAATAAAACTTCTATTTCTGTCCCCCAATTTGCTAGGCAATCACCATCATATACTCCTCTATAGGATAGTCTAGTCCGAATCCTCACTCTTTCAATTAATCAGTTCCAAGTAATCAGCTCCAAATAAACTAGTTAATAATTGGGAGTGGGCTGTGGTTGGGGTGTGGTGTCTTGCATGTTTAAAAACCAGGCTTCTGCCAGGGATTTTCAGTCTTTCTTCTCCTTGCTGAAATCACTAATAAAGAGTGCTGATCACTATACTTGGGGTCTGTTCATCCATCGAACCCACTGTTTAACACAAATGCAGGGAGAAATTTGGAAGAGGCGCTCTTGATGTGGAACTTACTTTCTCTCCCTTTGGTCCCGCGTAGCTGACCAATCCATCGTTACCGGGATGGCCGGGGGGACCCTGGAAACGAACAGTTTGCAGATGTTAACACACAAAGGAAACCATTTTGCAATGACGCCACCATCACGGCAGCCTCACTATCACTCGCAGAGGCTTCCTGTCTTTTACGGAGCAACCCTTTAGCCATCCAGGCATATGGTGAGAAGCTCGGCCTCGGCTGGGAGGTGGCTGCAATGTCTCGATAAAAGAACAGCTGCTTGATAAGGAGGTAAAGGTGCTCAGGGCCAGAGGAGCGATTCCAGGTGGCAGACGTGGATCCCAGAAGGCGGGCCACGACCCACAGCTCTCATCTGGTTTTGCCTTCCTTTGGGCATAGAGCAGGGGGTCACTGGGGGAGCGGGGGGTAGTTGTGAATTTCGTGCATTGGGCAGGGGGTTGGGCTAGATGACCCCTGAGGTCCCTTCTAGCTCTGTTTCTGTGTTCTGAACAGGGTTCTAAGTCACTTGTATAGTAGAAAAGAAGAAGAAGAAGAGGAGGAGGAGGAGGAGACTGGATTTCTACCCCGCCCTTCACTACCCAAAGGAGTCTCAGAGCGGCTTACAAACTCCTTTCCCTTCCCCTGCCCACAACAGACACCCTGTGAGGTCGGTGGGGCTGAGAGAGCTCTGACAGAAATTGGTCTATTTTCAAGAACTGCCCTTATCAGAACTACGGCTTGCCC